GAGGAGTGGGTTGTGGAGCAAGTGCAGAAACTACAACACATGGCCTCACACCCAGGGCTGTGCCTCTGGGGTAAGTGGTCTGTTGCTCATGCACCTAGCTTGAGGGGAGTGGCCTGCCACTCAGATGCCCTCTACACATGCCATGTAGGCAGTACTCCATGCACTTGTCCTCACACTCCCACTCTGACTGGGCTGCAAGAACTTCAGCCAGCATTGCTGTTTTTTGTTTGGTGGCCTTTACATGGTTACATAAGCATCTCATCACACAAGAAAAACATCACTTTATAAACAGTAGGGCCAGGGTAATAGCATTATAAGGATTAGTTAATTTGGCTCTCAGGTTTTTCCAATGTTTAGTCAATCCCTGGAAGAAGGAAGAGGTTGTCAAGATAGACACCTTCATTTCATTGATTTTGAAAATTGCCTTAGTAAGGTTATGTATAGTCATAATAGCATCCAAAGTGCCTTTAATCTACTGAGAAAAATTGGAGAGGTGTAAGGTTACATTTTTAGATACAGTATATTAGGTGACACAAATACTATGAAATTCAGGGTCACAAGTGAGCCTTTCAACATAAACAAAATATCTAGTTGTTCCTGGTAGAGGTTCCTTGCTGAGTAGCAGCTCAGAACAGTTTATTTAAGTCATTTTGAACTGCAAAGGCTTTCACCATGGCAGTAGACAAATTGTTTACAGTCTGAGTAGTCTGGATACTCTGAGTGAGCGAAGCAGTGGCAGTGGCTGTGACAATGATGGCGACTACCAGTGTTGGAATAACTTTCAGCTTGCAGCTAGCAGCTAGCAGCTACAAGCAGCTCAGAGTAGTAGAAAAACCTACACTTATACAGGTCTGACAGGAACACTTGCAGGATGGGGCACTCTGCTCTAACAAGCTGTCAGTGAAACCACATCCTCAGTGCTTGAAGTCAGCATTGCCAAGCTACCAGGCCAGGAGACCAAGAGTCAGGTGCTTCAGGGCATAAAACTCCTAAGGCCCCCTCCCCTAAGGACAAAGATCCTTCCAGACTGCCTTCCACTGCATAGCAATACTTAGAGCTTCCTCATAGTACAGCTACATGAATCAAGAGATGATTGGTTTCTAGATGTTGTATAACCTGGTTGCTTATGTATGATTGAAAGGTGCATTCTATATCAATTGTAATCACTTCTACATTAAACAGGCTGCTGGACATCAACTGAGGTTGTCACCAGCCAGCATTATCACCAGCTCCCAGTGTCTGTGTGTTGACTCCACATCTCTACCGCCCATGACTGAGGTAGCCGAGTGACCAATTGAGCACACCAGTGGCCAGAATGTATACATACCGGGGCAATAATTCCAGCAATGATGAGGCTAATTGCATGCCTAGTTCAGTATAGGATCTCATTCAGAAGATTGTTCATCTCCATGTACATGGACTCCTCCACTATCCTGACAGGTTCACTGGAAGCCAGATTGCTGGGGGCACTCTGAGGATAAATATATTTAGCTTTCATAGTAGGGGTTAGACAATCTGTGAGCCAGCAGGATATATTAACTGTACAAGGGATCTCTGTATGAATGATATTTATGCCATCATTATCATTGATTATTAGCATGGCAAAGGGTGGCATTACACTAGCTTGTGCATAGTGGGTATGGGTATAATTTGGAAAAAGGCAAATCCATGGTCAGGGTCTGAACTCAATATAGACCCATTCATCTGGCCAGCTGCTGCCCAATTATTGGTTCTGGCAGCTGGCAATATTGGCATGATAGCCGTAATGCCATTCTGATTTCCTGCATAATGGTTGGTAAGAGCTTGCCCCATGTAGCAAGGACTGCAGTAGCCTATATGGTTTTGGGGCACATCAGTTACATTCCAGGGACCTGTGCCTTCCCAGGTGCACAGATGTTGTTCTTCCCAAGAGAAATTCCTCTTATCAAGGAGATAAGGTATGGCTGTGACACATTGATTCCATGGGATGCTATCATTATCTGAGGGGGGGCTTTCCAAAAAGCATTGTTGGGCATATTGGATGCAACGGTTTCTTGCATTTACCATGGGGGATTCTATGGCTATAGGTAGCATTAACTATATCTCTAAGGTCAGTGAGAGACAGCCCAACATATGACTTATTATAGTTATCTACAATAGTTTCATTGGCAAGAGCAAAGCAGAGGGGACTGTCTGTATTATGGGTTTTATTATCTACTATGGAGAAACAAATGGGCAGATTAGGTATGGAAATGCTGGTATTATAGGATACAGTTACCTCCTGGATGGATAACTCAGGATCAATAATGTTGGAATTATTAGAGAAGAGCTTAGGTAAAGCTCCTTCCCAATTAGCAACTGCTAAATGTGGCCTAGTGACCAAAGCTCAATTTACTCATGGGAGGCTTCACTGTTAGCAGTGAGCACAGCATACAATAGGACCACAATCATAGGCCCAGGGATGAGATTGCCACCATCCAAAGGGACCAATCTCATGGCTTGGTCAGCAAGATCTTTAATATCACCCCGGGTTAGTTTACCTGAGTTCCATTTGTGTTATTGAGTTCTTTGCTTGCGAGGTTTTTCCTCCAAAGTTAGTTCTTTCATCTTCTTGGTTGGTGGTTCTGGGGATCCAGGGCTTGACTTTCTGGCAGGCACTCAGATGGGGTGAAGCTCCTGTTAACATATGCAAACCCTCCACCTGTGGGTAGGAGGGACCCCAGACCATCCCATGCATTTGTTATGAGATCCTTCCATGAGACCAAAGTCGATGGGAGGGCCCCATGGGAGGAGCATAATGCTTATGGGCTCCTATTTCTGTAGAAAATTTTGAAATTGAAAGAAAATTTAAAGTAATAAAATTATTTTCAAGGCATCATGAGGGGACTTGGTATAGTTTTCTCCCTTTGTTTTGTAGCATTGCCTTTAATTTTTTGTGTGTTCTTTCTATGATGCCTTGAGTCTAAGTGTTTTAGGGGATCCCAGTTAAGTACTATATATGCCAATCATTGAAAATTGCTTGAAATGTCTTGCTAGTATAGGCTAGCCCATTGTCAGTTTTAATAGACATGGAAACATCCATAATTCCAAAACATTTTAATAACTGGGAAATGTACTTTTTTGTGGTTTCTCCTGTGGAGGCTGTGGCCATTACACAGCCTGAGTAGATATCAATAATCACATGAATATATGTTAAATTTCCAAAAGGAGCATAATAATACAATTATTTGCCATAAAGCATTAGATTTTAACTCTGGGAATTCCCTCCAGCAGATTGTAAAAGGTCAATGGGGAGAAAAGGTGCCCATTTTTTGCAGTCTCTGACTAGCTGCCTGCAAGCCTCCTTAGTTCTGCTTTTATGCAACTGCCATGATTGAGGCCAGCAGAGAGGCTTAAGCTGCTTGTGTCCCTGTATCCAGGGTGGCCAAAATCCAGTCACATAGTGTGCCATTGTGTACTGGTGCCACTCCTGCTTTATGCTTTTTTTTTTTTTTTTAATTTAGATTCTTCATGAGACACCTTCCCTTCTACCACCTTGTTTATTCTGTCAATAAACTGTGGCATGTCCTCAGTGTCTTTCTTCCTTAAGACTTGTATAGAAACTATCCCTCCCCCAGCTGGTAACTTCCTCCAGGCTCTTAGAGCCCAGAGTTGCACCTGATCAAAATAATTTGGTGGGCCTGTAGCCTGTACTGCAAGGGAACAGTAGATTTCCTCTCTCTGCAAGCATTCAGCTGGGAGTTAACATTTGTGTTGTGGTGAAGATTCCCCCTGCTGTTCATATTTATCATGGAAGAATGCCTTAAACTTCAAAAATGTTGCAGGCTGAAGAGTGGCTCTGGCTAGGTCTTTCTAGTCTTGAGGGCAAGTAAGTTTGAGACTAAGTAATTCAAGCATTTGCTCTGCAAATGTCCCCCTGGGTGAATCCTCTTTTACTGCCTTCTTTAACCCTTTCAGGGTACTCAATGCATGTGAATAACAAGTGACAGGGCACTGTGGTGTGGGGTCTGTGTTGACTGTGAAGGCTTGTATTCCCTTACCCCACTTTTTCTCTTATCTTACATAGATATTCAAAAGGATCTCTGGCCTCCTGGAATGGGTTCTGGGAGACTATGGCTTGGGCCTATCTGGCAGCCTGGCCATTTCTAAGCTGTCATAGTCCCTTGCTGGCTTTGGTGTTGTCTCATAAGGAGGCAATTACCATTGACTCAGGGAAGGATATAATTTTTGCTTGTCAGTAGAAGGTGCACTTGCACTATTTGTGGTCACATCTTCCTGCACCATGAAGGCCAGCAGTACAGTTTCCTGCCTCTCCCCCTCCTGTATCTGTTGTGGTTTCTTGCTTTGAAGTAGATTCACATCACCACATTTTTTTCCCCTTAGCCTGTTTTTCATATCCTCTTCTTCCCTCAGGGCCATCATTATATGGGATCTGTTGCAAGAGACAAGGGATCTGTTGGAGGGCCTCTTAAACTTTGCTGAATGGTTGTCACAATAGAAAAAAAAATGTAGTGGTAAAGTATACCCCTGTCTCATTTCAGCTTTTCACACACTTGCCATTATCTTGTCCCATATCCTAGGATCAAAAACAGCAGCATTTATCCATGGACTGGTATCAATCACAACATCCCAGAACTTCAGGGCTTTTTTATTTTATTTTTTTTTAAGAGAGAGAATTTTAATATTTATTTTTTAGTTTTTGGCAGACACATCTTTGTTTGTATGTGGTGCATAGGATTGAACCCGGGCCACGCATACCAGGCAAGCGCGCTACCGCTTGAGCCACATCCCCAGCCCTGGGCTTCTTTCTTATTCAGGGTAAAACCTCTGGTATCTAAGAAAGTGTGCAGCACTTTCCTCAACGCTCTGTGAGGGGCCACACCCTGTCTTATAGGCTTACCTCAGATCCCTGCCAAGGCACCAGCTGCATGGGCTTTCTCTCATCCAGCAAGGAGTACCACAGAACAAGGTAGAGGAGAATGTGGCTGCAGAGTCGCTAATCAAGACCTCCAGAGACCAAGCAGGAAGCAGGTTTGATTTTATTGCATAGTTACCACGATATATACTCAGGCAGTAGCTAAGCAAATTACAGGCAGTCACCAATGCAATTTCTGCTAACTGTCCTTGCTGCAACCAATCTAGGAGCGGGCCATGGAGCAAGCGCTAGGACTGAAATACATGGCCTTACACCCAGGGCTGTGCCTATGGGGGTAAGTGGTGTGCCGCTCATGCGCCTAGCCAGAGGGGAGTGGCCTGCCACTCAGATGCCCTCAATATATGCCATATATGAAGTACTCCATGCACTTGTCCCCACATTTTACCAGGAGCAGAATTGCATTCACAAGAGAAAGATAAGGTGGATATTTAAACTTAAAGTAGATTTTTTCTGATTATCAGCTTCAACTCTGCTTTGGCTAAAAAGTCTTAGTCCATTCTATTCTTATGACTAACATATAAAATAAACCTAGATCATTATTATTAACTTATTTAGATGGTGTCTAACTTAGGAACTCTTAAGCTATTTATGTTAGTGACAATGCTTCAGTTTGTTGTTTTTATTAACTAATATAATTTCCCTCTCTTTTGATATTAAATTAATTAGTTAATTATCTTTTTTTTTGGTTCTGGATATCAAAGCCATGGCATCCTGCTGCTAGGCAAGTGCTCTGCCATTTAGTTATACCCTCAGCCTTCCCTCACACTATTAACCAAAGTAACTCTACAATGCAACCCTAATAAACATTCACATTATCTGAAGTATGTTTCTGAATGTTATTAATTTAATTTAATCACTTAATACAGAGGTAAAGGTGGTGCTATTTAGTTTATGTGCCATCTTCTGTATTCCAGGCAGGATGGGAGTATATGAAAAATAGTTTTCCAGAGCTTGTCTTATGGCTGGGAATTGTTCTGGGTGCAAAGCATGAGTTTGAAAGTATTCAAGGCAAGGATTTAGAAGCTTAAAACAGTCAGGTGTAATTGGATGATATAGTCAGTTTGCTATTATTGGAAATAATGGTATGAAACCAGGCATGGTGAGAGATGACAGATGGAATTGGGGATGGACAGGCAAGAACCAGAGGCAGAAAGGAGAAATGTGAGCTTGGAAGCAGGAAGGTATTCTGGGTACAACTGAGTAGAAAGTAGAAAGGGAAGATGGAGATGATGTGTGATAACTTGAGAAATTTCTTTCCAAGAAGTATAAAAATGACAAAAAAAAAAAAACTTCCTGTGCTTCCTTTGTAAACTTTTACCAGGAGCAGAATCATATTCACAAAAGAAAAATTAGGTGGATATTTGAACTTAAGGTAGAATTTTTCTCATTATCATGTCAATTCTTCTGTGGCTGAAAATTCTTAGTCTTTTCTATTCTTATAACTAACATATAAAGTAAACCTAAATCTTTATTAGTAATTTATTTAAATGGTGTCTAACTTAGGAATTCTAACTTAGGGCAAGGAACTGAAATATGTTAAAGAGATTGAATTGACAGCACTTGGTCATCAGTGAAATCTGGAAATGAGGGGAAAGGAGGATCCTAGGAGAACACCTAACACTATTGATAAATAGTAAAACAGATGAACTGAGTGAGAAAAGAAAGGGAAAAGCTCTGGGGAAAAGTGATAGGAGTCAGATTGTGTCTGGAGCAGAGGGAGTGTCTGAATGGAGATGTGTTGTGCACTCAGGACCAACAAAAATCCAGGTCTGACATGAGAATGAGAGGGAGCTATAACTAGATCCAACTTTGATGGGACAGTCATACTTAGAATTGTCAGGTTGCCTTTCCATTCAATGGCTTGTGAATCCCACTTACAATGATACTTGAATTCATCTCCCATATCCTTTTTATACCTATTTTTTATTAATTTATTTTTATGTCGTGCTCAGGATCGAACCCAGGGCCTCACACATGCTAGGTGAGCACTCTACCGCTGAGCCACAACCCCAGCCCCTCCCAAATCCTTTTTATACATGGAAGGTTTGGGCATCTTCTGAGGAGATGATGATGAAGAACAGGGCTTTATAGGCAGCCAGATTAGCCTTGGAATCCTAGCTGTACCAGAAATGCTTTTCAGAGAATGTCTAAAAACACATGCTTAATCATTTCTGAAGGGAAGCTCTTTTCTCTGTGCCAGGGAATAACAGGTAAGAAGAAAGGAAAATAGAAAGACAAAGAGGTCTCAAACATAAATAATATTAACTTTAGGTGTTAAGGGGGAATGTATTAATTAGGTTTCTCTAGAGGAACAGAATCAATAGGATGTGTATGTGCACGCACACACACACACACATACACACACAAAATACATATGTATATATAATATAAAGGGGGATTTATTAGATTATCTTATCATGTTTTATGTGTAAGATCAGAGGCTGAATAGTCCCTCAATGGCCATCTGTATGCTGGATAGACAGAGAAACCAGTAGATGTTCTGTCCAAGAACCTGGAAGACTCAGAACAAAAGGGACCAAAGATGCAGCCCCAGTCCAAGGCTCACTGCCTAGAGACTCCCTGGAGAGTTTTTGGTATGAGTTCATATTGAAAAAACCAAAGAACCTGGAGTCTAACATTCCCAGGTGATGAAAGCAGCAAAGGTGCATGTGTTGAAGGAGACTGAAGCTTGCATATGTTCCACTTTTGGCTTTTGCTCCATTTGGACTCTAATCTATTGGACATTGCCATCCACATTCAGTGTGCATCTTACTCAGTTTTCTGTCCCTCACACCAATTATTTCTGGAAATACCCTCATAGACATACCCAGAATTGTGATTTACTGATTTTCTAGGCTTCTCTTAATCCAACCAAGAGGAAAATCAAGATTAACCATCACAAGGAACACATGCAAAATATATGTAACACTGCAATTAGAAGAAAGAAATTCCTCTTATATCCATGGGATTGAAAGGGTTGAGTGACAGTAAGGGCACACAAATGAGAAGAGGGCTTCAGATGTTCATACTTTCCCCAAGAAGGAGCCTGTTAATGTACTTCATCAAGGTTGATGAAGTCTTCCAGGACTTTCCTAAGGATGGTCTTGGTGTCCTTAGCAACTGATTCAAGCAAGCGTCTCTGCTCCATGTAGTTAAGGTACTTGGCAGCTGAGTTACCATAGTATGGGATGTAGCTAAGACCTATACACAAGTAAAAGACTGTAATATTTCCTATCCAAGACAATGTCGAGCTCTCTTGGTGGTAAGTCTGTGCATCCTGGGACTTCACAATGTTTGTGTACTCTTCAACTGACTTTCCTATGCTCTGTGCCACCTGCTTGAGAGATTTATCATCCACACCAAAGAACAATCTGTAGGATTTCAGACAATCACCCAAATTATTTGGATCCTGGATGCCAAGAACATCCTGAAAACCACCTGTGTCTATTTTCTTCAGAAGGGAGGTCACACTTTCATTAATGATGTTTTCACAGATAGTGAAAATGATCTTTTGGACACTATGGCACCTGATTTTGGAGATGTCTATTCTCAATGTGTTCCTAAGCTTTGGGAAGTCATGCAATGAAGGGTCAAAGTTGGATACAAGAAATGTGGGGGGTTCCTTCACACCCTCATTCTGAAGATTTTCCTTGATATTCTCTTGTATATTCTGCAATATCTTTTCATTTGAGAGAGCACTTGTGCTGAAATCCCTGTCCAGCTTAGTCCAGACAACATAGAACCTCTTTCCCATCCCCTCAATGGCTTTGGCAAGCTTTACATGATTCATGCTGAACTGCTCAGATGCAATGATGATAAAGAGGTCATATTGGCTGAACTGCATCTCATTCAGATAGTTCTCCAGACTTTGAGCAGTAGTCTCCATGCCAGGGAGGTCCCACAGCACCACATTGGGAAAGTGGAAAGAAGAATAGCTTCCTCTTGTCTGGGTAGTCTTCACTACCCCAATGGGAGCTGAGGCCTCATCCTCATGTTGCAGCCTCCGCAGTGCATTGATGAAGGATGACATACCATTGCCTGACTCCCCAGTCACAGCAATACTTACTGGCATTCTGGACACTGTCTCTGCAGTCTTCCTGACCACAGAGACTACTTCCAGCAACTTCCCTTCTTTCCAGGCCTTCTCAATGTCCCTTATGATATCCATAGATAAAATACTGCTGCATATGTGGTCCAACATGACAGAAGTGTGGGAAGAAGAAAGCATGGTGTTAGGAGACAGTGGAGCCTCTGCCATGTTGATGAGTGTTGAGTAACCTACAGATATAGAATTGCATGGAGTTAGGATGGTCACACTCAGGGATGCACAGAAATTGTGAGACATAATATCCTTTCCCCAGGGTTTCAGATCTACAATCAAACCTATAGTAAATGCCTTCAATTAAAAACAGAGCAAGCTAAGCCCTCTTTCAGAGCAATCTTCAAGGGGAGACCTTGAAGTTTTCTCTGAAGCTCTTGTGCCAATACTGAACTCCAAGTCATGACTGTGGACACCAGAAGACTTGATCCTTATAGCTTGGAAGGGAGTGGGCCAGAGACATTGTTCCACTTATGTGATCAATTGTCATTTACACTTCCCTGAATATGCCTTTAGTAATACTTGAATAAAATGCATATCATGTGGGTTTTTTCACCCCATATCTTCACCCACTCTTAATTAAACTCACTGGTTTGCACTTGTAAGAGATATATCCAGAAATGATTCCAATGATCAATGGAATGCCACACAGATCACTCAGCTGGAAGCCCATCCTTACCTGACTCTGACTGGTTGTCAGGACTGACCAATGGGAATGCCAGCAGGGCAGTTGTCAGCTTGTGCCAGATCTCCATACCAAGTGATTCATTCCTAAGAACCTGTGAGTCTTCATTGGGCTTTTATGTGTCAGCATTTATTTAGTTATTTTAATTACACCATAATTTTTTTTCTTTCTTCTGAACACAATCATTTTTTCTTTAAAAATTGCAGTAAATTTAAGTATAATGGCACAAGGAATATAAATTTTTCTCTCATCAACTTCAATAGTTTCCAATTAATCTCATTTTTTAAGTTAGTATGTATATTATTATTTAATAATATTGTTATTGTTAATAATGTTGATATTAAATTTCTATGAATGTAAATTTCTCTTTTGGGCTGAATAATTGCAATTACATTGGCAGCATTTCATGGGGCAGGATTGGCAAAGATAGTTTGTCATTACAAAGCATTCTACTCAAGGTTACAACATACACATTATTCCTACTTGATAAACTTTTACAATTAAACAATTATGAGTGATTTTTGTGATATTTTCCCTTTATAATTTCTTTCTTCCTTTTTAAAAAAAGTTTTTATTGGTGCATTAGAGTTATACATAATAGTGGGCTCATTTTGACATAATCATACATGCAAGAAATATAAAAATGTGCTCCATTTCAGTCCCCAGTGTTTCTTCCTTCCCTCTTTTTCTCCCCCCCCCCCCCAATTCCTTTTCCTCTACTTTCCTTCCTTCTATTTATTTATGGTTTTTAGATTGGTGCTTTATAGGCATACATAAAGGTGGATTTATTTCCTTATTTGCCTATGAATTCAAAGTTTAAAAGTTTTAAAACTCCACATAGCTTTTCTCTTCTAAAAGGGGCTCCTTGACAGACCCGTCTATGTGGTCTCATGAAATGGTTGGAGTCTTGTCCTCATACTGAAGTGCCCATGTTTCCACTCCAGAAGGCCATGGTCTGTGGGAGATGTTTCTCAATCACCTGCATGTCCCACTGTGTAGGTTTCTGTGCTCCATACCTTCCATGGGCACATCTCCTTCCCCTTGATCCTTTCCTGGCTTGGGTTCTGCCTGCAGCCCTACACTGTGTCTCATGTTTTTTTCAGATGCTGCTTATATGGCCCAAAGGCTGCATTCAACCTTCCCTTGGAAGGAATGAGTTGAGATCTCCTGAGTTTGAGGACCAGTTTGGCCCTGTGCAATGTGGACAAATTCCTAAAGCCCCCCTTTTCTGCCCTGTGCACTGAGGCAGTCATGGTACCCACCTCCCTGAGTTTGTGTGTGAGTTTCAGAATACAGTCCATGTGTACCTCCCAGTAAGGTTTTAAGCTCTCTTGCTGAAGGATCTCTGGTCTTATTATGATTTTTGAGGAAGATATTACTCTGAATCTTCCTTATCCCTCCAAATTTAACCATGGTGTATTAAGGTTCTGTGTCTGAGTTCTCTGTGCTTGTCCTTTGTATGTCTGTCTTAATCAATCTCAAACCCTATTAGATAAGTGATATTATTTTTTCAGATTATGGATGAAGAAGTATTTTATAGATATGTCTCAATTACAAAGTAAGAAATGGATAATCTTAAATTAGACCAGAGAGTGATTCTATGTTTCTGTCTGCATAGAGAGACCTGTCCTGGTCAATACAGAATCTCTAACCCCTGGACTGATGATCACTGTATTGCAAGAACAGGCTGTGCCTGTGAGGACATTTGCGGGGGGTCCCACACCTGAACTATTTGAATAGCCCCTATTCGGCCTTGGAGCCAAGGAGATTTTGGTCTGGCAATTGTGAGTCATTTTGTGGCTTGTTACGCAAAGCACATGGTAACCTCAGTGTTTGTTTGGCTGCGAGGCTGCTCTGTAGCTCTGGACTTAGGTGTTACCATTGGGCTTGGACAGCCTCCTTCCTACCTTATTTGACAAAAGAACATTCAATTGAAATAATTTGAAGCCCCCATGTAAAAATAAAGCAAATGGGGCTCTTCACTCTCTCTCACCTTCCAGTGTGGAATCAGAACCCCTAAGGTTGTAGAGTTGTCCTGCTCTCATTTTTAAAAAATTGCTTCTGTGTTGTGTGATTTTCACTGTATTTCTCAGCCAGCACACTTCACACAGAAGGAAACCCCAAACTATAGCCTGGCAGGGAGTGGGCCAGAGACATTGTTCTACTTATGTGATCAATTGTCATTTACACCTCCCTGGATATGCTTTTAGTAATACTTGAATAAAATGGATATCATATGGTTTTCTTTCACCCCATATCTTCACCCACTCTTAATTAAACTCACTGGTTTGCACTTGTAAGAGATATGTCCAGAAAACATTCCCATTTCTCAGAGCCTGTTTTAGGAACTTTTTCTCCATTAGAAGGATATTTTGAATGAAATGATTAGAGAGATGCCAAGAGTTTAGAGAAAAGAGGAATGATAGAAAAGGCCAACTTTATCCATCATGTCTGGGTTGGGAACTGCCAAGCATGTGAGGTGTGTGACCACAGAAAGTTTTGGAGTCCTTCTCAAGGTTAGTTGTGATGGACTTGAGGTGCCAGAGGAAAGCCTACAGGGAGTGAAGGTATCCTCAGTTGTACAAAGGGACAGTGGTTTGTGGTGGGCTGGTTAATACAGGAACATATCTGGTTGGAAGCCAGGAAAGTGGAGCTCTGAACTACGTACACATGGAAGAAACTCACTGTGGAGCTCTGAACTACATACACATGGAAGAAACTCACTGATTGGAAGGTTTTATCAGAAAAAAAAAAAATCTCTGTGCTGTCTGGTAATGTCTTGCCTCAAGTGAAACTCTTTTTTTTTTTTTCCTTTCATTGGTCAGGTTTACAATTCATATTTGCTGCATTAGAAATATTATGAGCTTTACTCACAAGGTAAGTAATAAAGGAAGAAGAAGACATAATTGAAGTGGTTTAAAAAAATAGGAAACATGAAGTATTTTCACTCTCAATTTCCTAAGGATACCATGAAGTGGCACCCCCTTTCTCCACAGAAAAATCTTAACTGGGCTTCTCCAGAAATCTTCACCATAGCTGATTTTAGGACTGTCAGTAAAAGAGTCTTTGCAAAAGAGTTCAATGTAGATAAACTTTCTATTTTCATGTCACCCTGTTTATTTGGCCACTGGCTGCAAAGATACCAGAACTCCAGGTGCTGGGCACCCCCCTACTAGTTTTTCACAAACATATCCAGTATAGTAGTTTGTAGAAATGTGCAAACAAGGCCTCTGGCATTCATCTGGGGATTCACAGAGATGTCTACATTTTTTTTAAGAGAGAGGGAGAGAGAGAGAGAGAATTTTTTTTTTAATATTTATTTTTTAGTTTTTTTCGGCGGACACAACATCTTTGTTTGTGGTGCTGAGGATCGAACCCAGGCCGCACGCATGCCAGGCGAGCACGCTACTGCTTGAGCCGCATCCCCAGCCCCAAATGTCTACAATTTTAAGATAAGTTACAACTGGGCTCCATGGTAACAACTGGCAGGAGGAGGAAAGAAAGGGGAGAAGAAGTTCTCCCCTTCTCAGGTACTATCCTTGAAGGGTTAACTTGCCCAAAACAGTGAAAGAAAAAGCTGATTTTATGTGAACTTCTGCAGACTATGAACTTCTGAGACCCTCCCCTTACATACATGCTTGGTATAAAACTCTGAAACTACCTGAACTCAGGATTCAGGGGATTGATTGATTACAGCAAAACTGTGCCCTCTGAGCCTGGCTGCAGCTAAATAAAACTGTTTCTGCTATCTTTGGTGCCTTGCCTCATATGTCCCTACAACAACCACTCCTTTAAAACCCAAGCCTTTTTCAAATCCTATGTTTCTCCTTTTCAACCAGGGTAACCTTTTTGAGGGATGTGAGAGTTTCTAGGAGCCCTCAATTACCCTGAAGTCCCCAGACAATCTCCTGTGTGAATTCTAGTCTTGACAAATCAGCTGTGGGCAGCTATGTATTTTGCCTCCATGTAAGTTTGCTCTACTGTGGGTCTATGATAGGATTAATGTTCTTGTCAGATATACCACTGGGCTGAAACCATAAAGAACTGAAGTGGGCAGTAGCCCCTGAATTACTTCCCCTGACTTGTCTTGAGTTCAATCATAGATCTTCATATGGACTCAAAACACCTTAAATTCTGTTTTGATAATTAAGTGGAAAAATATATAATATACACAATAGGTTAATATCCCAGAAAAAATATTTTTTTCTATGGGATTTAGATGCTTAATAAGTATGGAATAAAAAACTACTTATTTGTAAACCCTTATGCAGAGTTCTGTGTAATTCATGCCTCATCTACCTATCTTGAGCTCTCATCAAAGGGACTCACAGAGATGTGGGAACCAAACTTGACTAGAAACGTATCTGAAGCATCAAGGACTTTTCTGAACATAGATCCTAATGTGGGCCCAAACTTTTGCATTGTTGCTCATTTTAAAATCATCAGGAAACTGAGGGAAAAATCAATGTGCTGATTAATTCCCCAAAAGGGTGACAACCCTCTCTAGGATTATTGGGTACAGTACTGGACCTGGCATACTCTGGGAAGATGGTGTTTGAAAAGCTCCAACCTCATTATTGTACCCCAAAAAGATTGAGTTGGTGTCCAGCAATAGAGCTAGTTTCTCATGAAGATAAAACATTTGAATTAAATCAGGCAAAAAGGTCACTCACATATAATGCTAAACCTAACCTCAGATTCCCATTAAATGGGTGGTCCAGGTAAACAGTTCATAGGTTGTCATAATTCCAGGTTCCTTTAGATATTGCCTTTGGCTGATTATAATTTCATGGGGAGAGTGAAGAGTGCCTAGCTTATATTTTAAGACAGTGAGGGTGGCACAACACATGCTATTTCTTTATGAGACCCACAATGCCAGAAATTTGTAGGTAAGTGAAAAGAATGTTGCTTATGCACTGGAAGGTTAGATGTTTTGGAAACACCAAAAATATTAGGGTGTGTGTGGTCACCAAAGGACATCAGAGAGAGGATCTGCTATGAACACACCCTGAGTGTAGTAAGCCTGATTTGAAACTCTCTTGCTCTGATGTAAAGGATCCACCTTTAATGTCATTCTATGAGCAGAGTTATTAGCAAGCTGCACTTAGGAGACATTCTCTTACCTGCTGCAGAGAGGTGGCTGTGAGGAGATGTCAGAAGTTCTCCTGGGATATCACTTCCTCCCTGGGGAAAAGTTGCTGCCCTCAGACAGAGGCAATTGCCTCTGCAATCTTCCCAAACTTGAATCCAGTCCCAGGTGGCTTCAGAAGGCAGAAGTCACTTGGGGAGAGCTGGATTCTTCTGAGGAAGAATGAATAGGGAAGGAGAGGAGAGGAGCTAGAAAGGAGAGTTCAGTCTTCCTGGGTTTTCTTTCTTCACTTCACAGTAGAGTTATTGTGCTGCCCCTGCTCACTGCTCAGCTGTTTGTAGATTTCAGTCTGGCTGCCTGCCTCAGCTCCACAGGGAGGGGAACATTGGTGGGGTAAGGTTTCAGTTTCTATTCCTGTAAATAACTGATTTTCAGGATACAGCCATTCAGTTTCCACTTTTGCCTTCCAGTAGGAGTAGAAACCATTCAATTCTAGCCTGAATCCAAGTCCAGGATGTCTTAGCTCTGCCAAGGGGCTATGAAAGTTTAGACCAGGATGAAGACATTCTGGGCCTAGACTTTCTTCCTCACCTCCTGGAGTCCATGTCCTTTGAGATGTTAACATCTGGAAGATGTAAGGGCAGGCCCATTGGACAGTTGCAGGTACTAACTGCTAAGTTCCTCCTAGTGGTTGTTGTCCCTGGCTAGCTTCGTTTGCTCACTCCCATACCACTCAACTCAGGTGCATAATCGCTCTCTACAATGGAGCTCCCCTGATCATCCCACAGGTCAAGGCATTTGTCCACTCCAGAATACCTGGCTGTTAATTTGTGATTCTTTTTGACCTCTGACTTCTCACAGTTCAGGAAAGACTCTCTATAACCAGCTTACACTCTGCCACTCCATACAATTGATTGTCACTTTCCTGGCTGATGTCTACTTTAAGAGGGGCAGGCCTGACCACTAATAGGTCTAACCATGGGGATTAATGCTGCTAATTAACATGACTGGGAAAATGCCATGATTACCAGAGCAAGATAGGGTAGCAGATAAAGTATGAAACTCTGAGCATTGTCTGTGGACCAAGGTAGTCTGACTACCTCCTAATTGTCCATGAACGTTCTGTTCCATCCACAGGGTTCATTCTAGCTTCTGGGATAACTGTATTCCTGAGTGGCTCACATTTCATACATGTTATTCTTGCTGTTGGGAGAGTCCTTCCCATGGCTGCAACTCCTAAGCCTCCTCTCTAGCACCACATATTGATAAGACTTCCATGACCAAGATACACTGTCCATAGGACCCTATCTTCCACCCTCTGGGTGCCCCATCCATCCTCCTTCCTGCTCAGTGTAGCTACCTGAATGCTCAGCCCAGCACATTAGTAGTTTCCCTATTGCTTGGAATCTGCACTAGGTACCAGGCTCTGAAATTCCCCCATCATCAGGTTCAAATTACACTGAGGATTTTGAACCTGTGCTAGACTGAATGAGTCACCAGAAAGGATGAGAAGGTAGAGGTCTGAGTCCTCAATGGGGGAATGAATGGACATCTGATCCTAGACAGGCCTTTGACTTCTCAGTGGATTTCATCTCCTCATTCTAATGTAGAATCAATAGGAAAGTATATGGTAAGGCAAGGAACCACAGGTCTGGAGTTATGTGACAGTAACAAGGTGGAGACTGAGTCTGTTTTCTGAGCTTTGTGGAAAGATTGCAAATGTGGATAATGAGTTATGAACACTGATGTGGCTAAGGGGTTTTAAAATTGGCTTTGCCATCCTTGATTCCACCTGTGAGTAAAAAACTGCTAACTAGCAGAAGATGTTTATCTGGACATGGGTCTTCCTCAGTAAGGTGAACTCAATCAAAACAGAGTCAGGTTGCTCCACAATTTTCACAAAATGGCAGGAGAGGATTAAGTGGCCTCTAAGTTTAATCCATCTCTATCCCCGAGAGCACAAATGGGAAGACTGTGTGAAAATCCCTTTTCCCTTTTATATGAAGAGCATTTACCACACAGTAACCATCAGAAAGACTGCAATCATCCCACCTGAGTGTGTCTTTTCCTGCCTTTTGTAGTTTCCTTCCCCTCTGGCACCTATAGCCTATAATACAGAACTTTGTAGCTAGCCAAAATGAGGGCTGGGAGATCACTCCAGTCTTTGCTGTAGGTGTGTCAGTGGGAGCAGGCTGTGAGCCAAGGAAGGGGTGGGGAAGATTTCAATTTCCTAAGAATCTAGACTTCTTTATTAGATGCATTGAATTTCTGAGTGGGATTAGAGACTGGATATCTTGAGGATAGTATAGAAGATCTAAAAACTCTGGAATATTTCCACCAAGGTATAGAAGACAGTCTTCTAGCAAAGGGCAATGCAGAGTTGGAAGAGAAGGACAATGTTGCTTCTAGCTGGTCCAGGCACCTCTCCAGTTCTCTTCATTGATCCCCTAATACCTACTGGCAAGTTCTTCCTCCAAACTTGGTGAAGAGCATCAGGAATAAAGAGGAGATCTCAGCTAGTCCTGTGCTCACTGTGGAGGAAATCAGACCACAGGGGCTGAGCACAGACAGAAAAAAGCAGGCTCACACAGACACTGCACTGACACTGTATCTTGATCTAGGGGCCTTAGCACAATTTCTGCCTACTGAATGCTCCCTCGGGATATATGGGTGATGTGACTCTCTGGTCACTGGAAGCCCAAGTCCTGCCCCAGTGATTTCCAATCACTTCTGTATCTATGAGTCATCTGTTCAGCAACAAGTAGTATGAGCCCCTAGAGGCCACAGTACCTTTCACTCTCTGATTTCCGGAAAAAAAAAAAAAGGTGAATCTGTTTTCTGAAATTTGAGGTGGAGACTGCAAAAGTTAATAATAAGCTATGCAATCCTGTGTGGCTGAAGGATTTTGAAACTAGTGTCACTACTCTTGATTTTTCCTTTCATGCAGAAAATAAAATGCAATCATCTTATTGCAATGATAAAAGCTGGATATGGATCTTCTTAGGTAAAAGGAACTCAGTCAAAAAGGTCTAGGTAGTTCCATGATGTGCACACAATGAGAAGGGGGAATGAGGCCTGCAGGTCTGGGCTGTGCCTGTCTCTCATACCCCAGTAAGGACATCTATGTGAACCCACACGGTCCCTATATGTGAACAAAATTCACCACACAGCAGCCATCAGCAGGATCGTACCTGCCACCTGAATGTATCCCTTCCTGCCTACTTCTCCCTACCATCTTCATAATGGAGATGATTTGTGCATGAAAGAGGAGAGAAAAGGATTTGTGTCCCTTTAGCAGATATCCCAGTGGGAGAAGGGACTGAGCTGGGGTAGTGGGGGGATTTTAATTACATAGGAGTCTAGGGTTTATTAGACAGATTAGGGGGACCAAGGAATAGAAGTCCAGAGTGGCACAGAAGCACTGGCTGAAGAAGTATGTTATTTCCACCAAAGAGTGGAGGAGGTCTCCTATCAAAGCATAATGCCAGGAGGCTGGGGAAAAAGCAATTATGTTACTTTCAGAGAGTCCAGAGAAGTTTCCAATTCCCTTCCTTGTCTCCCTCCAAACTGGATGAAGAGAAGTAGAAATGGAGAGTAAAGTTAGGCCAGTCCCATGCTCACTGTGGAGGGAACAGAACCCAGGGGCTGTGCAATGTGAGAAAAAGCAGGCTCACAGCCACTGCCCTGCACTGCCCAGAGATTTGAGCAATGACTCTCTAGTCGCTGGAAGCCCCAGTCCTGCTCCCATGGTTTCTACCCCCTCTTCTCTCTCTGACTCACATGTTCAATGACAAGTAGTGTGAGCCCCCCTAGTGGCCAACATGCCTTTTGCTTTCACATTCCTGGAAATCAATGAGTTTTGCAGAAGAGGAAGAAATTGGAGTTGCTTTCACATTCTTGTCTTAGCTATTAATGGAAGCCTTGAACAAAAGCCAGGGAACTCTCTTCTCTTCAAAACAAAACAATTCTTCTTCTAAGACGTCAGCTTCCCTGTGAGGCCTGAGGAGAGCTGCTGTCAACTTCTTGCAAATTTCAGTCCCTGCCTTGTGAGACTGACAGGGCAGTTTCTGTGTCCTGCTCTCTGTGTGCTGTCTACATGAGCAAAGAGGCCCAGGTCCTAGAGCAGGCACAGGAAGGTAAGAGAGAAGAGTTCAACAACCTTGCTTCTCAGTGACCACAGCATTCACATTCAGGGTTTTGGGTCATTCGGAGGCCACTGACTCAAGTGACCTCAGACTCAATACTCATCTTCCCCCAGGAATAAGTGGAGATCTCACCCTTGTAATGATTTAGAATGGGCACTACAGGGTCTCTTTGTGGATTGGGAACAGGTAAAATTGTCTGGAGGCAGGATGGGCCTAATGAATGGACACAGAATGCAGATGCAAAAGATACTCAGACCACTCATGGCCTATCCTTGAAGATGCCATTTTCCTAGGAGCTCCAGCAGGGATAGTCTTGTATTAGACATTTTGGATAGCACCATAACTATGGATTACCTGCAGATCCTTATGTGATAAGAAGGTATGAATGTGGGTCATTTGCCCATAAAGAAATGCTGGGAGCTGAGTCACTCAAAGTCTATGACACTCACCTCAGCTTTTTCTAATAACTAATCAGAGCTTCAAGCTCCCTTCACTCAGCAGAGTAGGAAAAGGTCAGGCCTAAATACTAGTCATCCACACAGTGGCAGATTTGAGATTATCATCTTTGCTTTGTGCTCTATTGTCATGGGTACTGAGAAGAACTGACTATTTTCAGGTATGTGAGAGTCACACTGGGAGATACTTGAAGGAGCCAGAATCCTCAGAGGCCCATGTTGGCCTCCTCGTGTTGATGAACACATTTCACCTCATACCTGCCTGGTCCCTCTTGTTTCCCCCCAAAGAATTTTTTTCTTTTCTTCTATTCTTTCCTACTGCTTGATTAGTTATGAGGAGCCTGTATTTATTTTGCTTTTCATGAGCTAAACCAAAAAGTACAGTACATACTTACTCAGAAGATCATGTCATCCTGGAGGTGATGGAGGGCTAAAACCTGCAGGGGTGCTCAGGAGAGAAGAAATGGTCACCATTGCCTTTAGACTCCAAGAAGGCATGCTTCACAGGATTTGGGAAGTACTTGTCAGAGGTCAGCCTCTAAATCTCCTGATTTTCATGGATATTAAGAGCTCCCTCCACGTCTCTGCTTGAATGTCCCCATTCCAACTCACCAGTGTTCCCTGCATCACTTGCACAGTAAGATTGGCCTCCTCCCTGTTAATAGGTGTGTCCAGCTGCCCTGAGGGCATCTCCACAGGAACCAACTTCAGCAGATGCCTGTACCAGCTGACCACTTTCACTCTCATGTGCCACATCCTGTGCTTCACTATCACCTCCCCACCACCAGACCCTAATCCTGACCATCCTCCTTGATGCCTGATACTGTCTCTCTTCCATCTCCAAACTCTGAGACCTCATTACTCCTGATGTCCATGGAGCCCACTAAGCCTTCTACAAATCTCAACATATGGTCTCTCCTGTTTCTCCTAATAGCACCTGTTCTCCTAATGCTTGATCTCTCCAATTACCTGGGAAACTGCTGGTGGCAGGACCCAGGTTCTGGCAAACCTACACCTCAGAAGGATAATCACTGTGGGCTCTGGGGGCATTTCTTTCATTAATGAGAAAAGTTTCTCTTATTAATTCCTTCATTTTATTTAAATGATTAGGGTGATATTGGGCATAAGCTTTTGTAACTTGCCCTGAATTCTAAACACTAACTTCTACTAAATTCTTTATATTTTATGAAACTCTACCTCTGAGTTTTTCAAATATTTTAATTCATAGGGAAGAGAAAGGTAATAAAATTTTATCAATCACAGTTTACATGCAAATTTCTGAGCCATAGTTTTTTCCATCTATGATTCTAATTTCTCTCAATGGAATAATCAGGAAATGGGATGGCAAGAAACTGAAGTGGGTGGCTGTCTAGGTAGCTCAGAATATAATCAATGGGGAAATGGTTTTGTTCCACAAGAATGTGTCTGGAAAAAACATTAAGGAAGTCAATGAGGGCCAGCCTCTAGTGACATTTTAGTAACACTTTTTATTTTATGGTTAATATTTTTGATTTTCTGGTATTTGTCTCTTACACATCTGTAAACTGCTGTGACTTACTTGTTTCAGTTTTCCAACTAGCAAATCTTCAGTTATGTCCCTCCTGATATCTTTTACTCTAATTCTCAATGTTCTTATTTAACTGGGCATCTGTATTTACTTGGTACATAAATTTCCAACAAGTGTCACTTGGGGCTTTTGGGAAAGGAGCAAGGGAAGATGGAGTTGGCTGGCCGGTGCCTATTTTGGTCATCTCCTCACTATGCAGTGCATGTGCCAAACCTGTATTTTCCTCCGTCCACACTCAGCACCTTGTTTGTCTCTGGCCTTGTTACTGCCTGTTCCTCATGTGAACAGAGAGTCACTGTCCTCAACAAAATAGGGGAGGATCATGTGTAGGACTTATAATTTTAATTTCTATTTCTGTATGGAATTCAGCATACTCCAGGATGCAGACAATCAAGTCAACTCTACTCTCTCTACACACCTATGCACACACACATATGAAACCCTTGCACAGATACACGGAAGTACAAACACCCATATACAGACATATGGAAGAGCTGCCCTTTGGGGATTGGTGGGAGATTTCAGAGAGAAGGTGGACTGCAGATCTCAATTCCTCCAAGGTTGGAACAAAGAAGTGAAAGAGCAGCTGATCAAAGAACTGACTGGCAGAGGGTATGGTTTGGTTACTGGAATATAATACAAGAAAGAAGTCATTAACCAGGAATGAGCATCTGAACCAGTAGCGAATGGCTGAAGGGCAGGAAAACATAGGGAGAAAGAGGAAGAGGCAAATCTGACATCTTTGAAGTGGAGTTAACGAAGTAAGTTGTGAACTGAAAGCTTGTGAACCACCCATCCTCACCATCCTAGCTTCTGCAAAGATAGGGAGTGGAGCACAATGCAGTACAATTTCACGGAGTCAGTGCCTAAGGAGCCTCTGCTGAGCACCTCTATCAGGAGGGAAGGACACCTCCATCAGGAAAAGGCAGGTACTTGCACAACTACCAGTGAACCTATCAGGCCTAAAGAGAATGACACACATGTCTGATGCTAGCACTTCCCCATGAATGTCTTTGACAGGGAGGGCCATGCATGCGAATCTGGTTGCAAGGTCTCCAAACATCACCACTGTGTGCCCCTACTAGAAAGGGTGGAGAGTAGAAAGCTGTCCTACAGCTATGCAGCTTGTGGACTCTGCCAGGAAAGGGGAACCCTAATAGACAGCTCATTAAATATCCTACACAGAATATTTATTGCAACAATATAAAAGGATTCAGTTTTCTCCTTGCTGGGATATTTAAAGTGGAGACAGTTTTCTTGAATGCTCTCATGGTTATATAAACAGGTGAGGGCTAACACTTGTAGGTTTGTGCTTCAGCCAAGGTAGCACACTACAGCAGTGTGATGGTGGTGATCTGGAAGCTGAGGTGGTGGCAAGAACACTGTGTGGCCAGTGATTTGAGTTCAGGGCTGTGTTTGGGTAGGGCACTGTCTAAGAGAGTTATGGTGGCAGCTAGCGTCACACCTGCATGCTGGAATCTGGTCTCTGCCCTCCATGCCAGAGGTCCTGAAGGTTGAGGGAGGCCCTCAGAAGATTCTCACAGCTCCCCAGACTTGACCCTTCCTTCTCAGGTGCTCATGGTATCTGCCAGCATCATAGGTGCCCATTACTGTCTTGGCACTATCCTTCTTGGCAGATGTCTCAATGGAGGCTCCCTACAGAGGTGCAGAGGTGCCTTTCATTTCTTAGACTAAACCCTTCCTGGTAGAGGCCTATAGCACTGAGGTGTGCTGCTTTTTTATCCTTCCTCTTTAGAAGGAGCACATAGAGGCAGCCAGCATTATCTTAGCACACAGATTCCCAGAATGGCCCTCTTTGACTTAATTGAGGGAAAAACAATGTGCTGATTTTTTTTTTCCAGGAAAGAGTGGCAAACCTCTCCAGGATCATTGGGTATAGTACTGGACCTAGCACGCTCTGGGAAAATGGTGTTTGAAAAGCTCCCACCTCATTATGGTAGCCCATAAAGGAATGAGTTGGTGCCAGGCAATAGAGCTAGGTAGATAATACATGTGCATTGAGTCAGGCAAAGGGTTCACTCAGACACATCGTCCTCAGATTCCCATTCCCTGGGTGGTCCAGGTAAGGAACTCATAATTTCAGGTTCTTTCAGATATTGCCTGGTGCTAATTCTGATCCTGGGAGTCTGACTTCATGGGAAAAATAAAGTTTTCAGTTTAGACTCTAAGACAACATGGGTGGCACATCCCATCCTCTTTTTCCAAATTTGGTTCCCATCAGATTACACACAATTCCAGGAATGCAGAGGTGAGAGAGAAGCACATTGTTTCCACACTGGTGAGTTGGATATTTTTAGAGCACCAAAAATTAGGATACTTTGTGTCCCCTGCAGGATGTCAGAGAGAACACAGTAAGCCTGATCCCAAGCTCTCCTGCTCTGGTGTAAAGGATCCACCTTTAATGTCGTTCTATGAGTAGAGTTATTAGCAAGCTGCACTTAGGAGACATTCTCTTACCTGCTGCAGAGGAATGGCTGTGAGGAGATGTCAGCAGTTCTCCTGGTGTATCACTGCCTCCCTGGGGAAAAGTTGCTGTCCTCAGACAGAGGCAGTTGCCTCTGCAACCTTCCCAAACTGGAATCCAGTCCCAGGTAGCTTCAGAAATCAGAAATCAGAAATTGTGGAGAGCTGGATTCTTCTGAGGAAGAACCAATAGAGGAGGAGAGGACAGGAGATAAAAAGGAGAGTTCAGTCTTTCTGCCTTTTCTTTCTTTACTTCACAGTAGAGTTATTGTGCTGTCCTTGCTCACTGCTTGGCTGTTTATAGATTTGAGTCTGGCTGCCTGCCTCAGATTCACAGGGAGGGAACTTCAATGAGGGCAGGTTTCAGTTTCTATTCTTGTAAGTGACTGGTTTTCAGGATACAGCCAATCAGTTTTCACTTTTGCTTTCAAAATTGGGCAAAGGTACCGCATTGTTGGCCTGAGTCCAACTTCAGTGTTTCTTAGATCTGCCCAGGCAGAGGGCGGCATCCTGGGTCTGACCTTGTTTTCTCCCTTGCTGGAGCCTATTGCCCTAGATGATGGTATCCAGCCTTGAGTGATGTTGACCTTCAGACTTGGAGAGGTCTAGCCCCTCAGATAGTTGCAGTTACTTACTGCAGTTGCTTCCTTTGGTTACTTTCTCTGATCTGCTCTCGAGGTCTCATTTGCCATCTCCCACTCTGCTCATCTCAGATGAGAAAGCAGTGCCCATCAGGGAGCACCTCTGATCTACCCTGGGTTAAGGCACTTACTCATTCCAGTATACTTGGGCTTTATTGTTGTCTTCTTCTGATCTCACACTAGTCAGAGTTCAGGAGAGGCTCACATTAACTGTATTGCCTTCTTTTCTTCTACATAATCAGTTGTCACTGTCCTGGGTTATGTCCTTGATCAGAGAAATTCTCTGGATCACTGATGTCTCTGGGCATAGGGAAGTGTGATCTCTAGCCTATATCACTATTTAATACCATGGCTGGAAGAGTGCTATGCTTAACAAGGCTTAGTAAAGTGGCCTGATACAATATGAATTTCTGATAAAATCCTGTGGGCCATATATGGTAAGGTTGCTTTCTGACTATCCTTGGATTCCCTGCTCTCAGACTCTCAGTTTCTGAGATGTCCTGTATTCCTCCAGTGATACCCAGACTGTTCCTACTGCTGGGAAAACCTTTCCTATGGCTGCACAATCCCATTCTTGTCTCCAGCCTCATTCTCTCAGTCTCTCATGGGAAGGTCTCCATGAGAAAGCTGCATTGTCCCAGGATCTATTAATTACTGCCAAATGCCCCCTCCTTTCTCTTCCATGTATGGTGCAGGATTTTGATCATCCAGCCCAGTATTTAGTAGTTTTTCCTGTGTCTACGGTCTGTACTAGATGACAGGCTCAGAAATTGATGCATCACATCTGTATAGTTCACCTTTATGCACAGGTCTTGGACTTGTATTGTGCTGACTGATTTATTACCGATCACGGAAATAGGAGGTGTAAGTCTCTGCAATGGTCTCTACTGGCTGTATAGTTCCGGATAGCCCTTTAACTCTGTATGTATCTCATATCCTCATTCTAATGTGGAAACATCAGATAAAGCACCCCAGAGCATTTGTGGCTAGGAGAGAAGCCCAAAGTCAGGAAGATATGGTCCTGCAAGAGGCTAACACAATGGATTTTTTTCTTAGGAAAGAGATTGGGAAGGGATTGCAAACATCCATAACAGTGTGCCTGAGGGATTGTGAAACTGAATTTGATTCCTCTTTCAACTTAGAAAAAGAGGCTAATAGCCCATTGTAAGATGTGCTTTCACTTTAGGCCAACAATAGATCTTCTTGTATAAAATAAACTCAGGCCCCAAAGGGCTGGACTGCTCCTGCCATTTACAGACAATAAGAGATGATAGGACACCTACAGGTCTGAGCTGTGCCTGTCCCTGAGATTCAAGGGAATATCTGTGTTAGCACCCCATGGTCCTACCTTTGTGAAGAACATCCACACCAGCAGGAGTTATTGGATATGCTTGAGGGCTGCAGCTCTAGGGCTAGTTCCTGTCCCAGGCCTTCCCCTAGGAGCATGATGAATTAGGACTTTCAAGACAATGAAGGCTTTTCTGGCTAAATTAAAGCAGGTAGATATTTTATTAGTTGTAGGTATTAAATACTCTTTCTGAAAATTTAAGAATATAAAAAAGTTGACTACCCAAAGGAGCATGATATTATCTAATAGTGAAGGTCATTTTCAGAATTAAACAAAAACAGTGGAAACAGAAATTAGTGAGAGGGAAAATAATTCTGTTATATGAAAATAAATTTAATTAAATCACAAAGCCCAAAAGAACAAATGTTGGTACTGTTCTTCTAGCAGCAGCAATTGGAAAACCTGAGAGATTCCAGTTGTCAGGTTGTAAGACAGGTATACTGGGCCGTGGGATAGAAGTGCTTCCCATCCTCACGGAACTTTGGGTAGAATTTCTTCCAAGACCACCACATTTGTTATCATTTTATAAAGTAAGCTTCTGATTGTTATATCTACAGCTTCCATATTGGGGAATTTGGTTATGTACATATGGTTCTGTTCTCAGCTTTGTCAGAGGCCAGTGGGGAGAAGCAGGCAGTAAATGTATAGAGGCAATATTTATTTTTTCCATATTTTTATTGTTACATTATACTTATATATAATAGATGGATTTGTTAGTACATATTTGTATATGCACACCATGTAACAATATTTGGCCAACATTCTCTAGTATTTCACCTTTAGGCACAACAATTAGAATGAGATTACTCAAAGTAAATTTACCTTTGTAGGTCAGCAATGTATGTCTTTTGTAAAGAGCATCAGGATACTTCTAACTGAAAAAAAATAAAATAAAAAAATATTCTGGCTGAGGAGAAAATTTGGAGACTCAGATGAACCCTTTGTTCATCCTTACTCTACACCATGGTCAGTTCATCAATTAATGTAGGTCCCTGAGGCCTCCTGGCTACAGACAAGTTGGCTACCTCCTGATGGTCATGTCAGCCCCTTAGTCTATTTGCCTCAGTCCTAGACTTGGGCTCAATTCTTCTACTGACCAGGCCAGACAGGACATCACTATGGATCTGTTTCCTCATCCATTGAATGAAGAATTGGGGTATAAGGAGACTTCTCCTACACTGGTGTTTCTTGACTCAAAGGAGCTCCAATCTTAGATTCTCACATCTCCTGACGGCTCTATGGGCCCAGTCAAGGGCTTCAGCTGCCTCTATAAGTCTAAGACATTACAGTTTCACCACAAGTGGCCCTACAATTTAACTGAGATTTGCTCTAGAGTTCTTAGGTAAGATTCTGCTTTACACAGAGCAATTTCTTTCCAGAAGTCAGATGTAAAGGTACAAGATGTCATGACATTCACTTCACTCTGTTACAGGCAACATCAAGATGTCAAGTCTCCCACTTCCTCAAATGGCTCCCTAAATGTTTACATGTCAGTGCCGCAGTCTGGCTGGGCACAATCAGGAGCCACTTGTCAAAAGAAACTAACTTTATTTTTAGAACCACACACGCCAAACAAAACAGCCTCTCAGGAAAAACCCTCAGAGCCTCAACTGCCACCACCGGCTTTCCACAAGCCTCTCTCTCCCCCACAAGCTTCTCTCCACCTCCCACAATCCTCCTGCTCTTGAGGCCGATTGGCTGGGTCATGTGGGCGGAGCCAAAAAAGTCCCCCAATGAGCAGCTCCGTGGTCTGAAAGGGCAGGGAAATAGCCCAATGAGCATCACCGCAGAGGAGCCAATCAGCTAGATGTTGCTGGGGCCGAGGAGCCAATCAGCTAGATGTTGCTGGGGGGCCGCTGTGAGCCAATCATCAGCCGGCAGCTGGAAGTTTGCTGGCAGCTGGAAGTTTGCTGGGGCCCCTTCGGCTGTGGCTCTCAACATGTCAGCACAGAAATGGCATTAACTAATTTTTGTGAGTGTTTTAGCAAGGCCTAATCACCAATCACCTGGTGCCATTGCTTTAGTCAGTATTACTTCAGTTGCAGGAGTTCTATGTTAGTACATGAGGGCTGCTATCACAAAGTCCTGGAGTAGGGGTTTAGACAGCAGAAATATACTATTTCACTCTTGGAAGCTTGGAGCCCTAGATCAAGTTGTCCATATGTATTTTGAGGCCTCTCTCCTTGGCTTTCAGATGGCCATCTTCTTCAAGTGTATTTACATGGTCTTTCTTCTGCACTTGCCTGTGTTCAGGTTTCCTCTTTTTAGAAGGAATCATTCTTACCAAATTAAATGCCTCTCACAATTTAAGAGCCTTAAAGATCTCATCTTAGTGTAATTCTCTTATCTTCAAATAAGGTCACATTCTGAAGTACTAGAGTGTGGGGGTTAAGAGCTCAATATATGAATTTGATTTGTTTCTAGTAACCACCATTCGAGGCTCTGAGGTACACATGGGCCTGACTCCTTGTAAGTTTAGGGTTCTGTGCTCTTGGGTTAGCTGAGCCCTTTAATACTCTTTCAGCTTCTTTCTAGCTTCTCTCATTTTCCTTTTGTTGACTTCTCCTTTAAGTTTTGTTTTTTTTTTTGTGTGTGTGTGTGTGTGTTATTTATCACTTTGTTTAAAATAGCTTTTTATATATGTATAACAAAAGGTGGTTAAGGATCACAGTGATTTGATTAAAGTCCCTAAAATTGGTGGCAACAGTACAGGCTACAACTCTACTACTACTAAACTCAGATATCATCAAAGAAAATCAGGGAATAGGCAGAAAGCAATTTAAAGACCTTTAATTAGCATCAGAGAGGTAAGAAATAACTGTATCACCTGGCCTATGTCAATGCCTGACACACTGTAGCCACACAGTAAATTCTAGTTGGTTAAAAATCATTTGCATTAATAAGGAAAGCATAATAAAAGAGCATTGAGAGAATAAGTAAAAGATCTTAGAAATGTAAAATGTGTAATTGAAAGAAAGCAGTAAAATCATTGTAAAACAATAGGCTTTTCTGGAAGATATATCTGAAATAACAAAGTTGGCCTTCCCCAGGCCTGCCAAGTTGAGATTGGACCTTCATCCACCAAGTGCTTTCTTGATAAATAGTGCAGCAGAGAAGGATGACTTACCTCTACCCCTCTGATTGCATGATGTGGGGATTTCAAAATATACTCCTGAACTCTCACCCCCCTTTTTCTTTCAGGGAAAGGTAACATCATGGAAAACTCTTGGTCATACTTTCTACAGATTAAATAGAAGTGTGCTTATGGTGACAAGAGATGGAACATACATACAATTATGCTATAGGGAAAATATAACCTTGGCTCAGAGTCCTTG